ATAAATAAATAAATAAAATTTAAAAAAAAAAAAAAAAAAAGAAATCTAGGAGATTAAAAATTATATGGAACACATGGGCACCAGGACAGACCAATGTGAGGACAGGATTTTAGAACTAGAAGACAATGATACCTATAAAAAAAGACAAACTACTCAAGGACACCTTAAAAGCAACAAGAGAACATAACTAATGGATCCAATACCTCCTAGATGACACAAAGACTACTCTAAGAGTAAGATTAGGAGTGCTGTAGGCAGCTAAATTAGATAGAAATATTATAGGTACTAAGTCAGGGCTAGGCCCTCAAGGAGACAACATGGAAGACAAGATACGTTGCAACCATGAGCGAGACAGAGGCTCCTGCTGTGGGCCAGACTTAGAGACCAAAGATTGAGCCAATGCTGACCTCCCTGAAGATAAGCATCTGGGATTGATGATCACCTTGAGGAAACCAGGAAGAGTCACTAATCCAACTGCTACCAGCTGGCTACTGGATAAATTCCTGTTCTGTATTTGTGCCTGCTTGCTACATGACTTGCTTCCCCATTTGGTTCTGGATTTAATCAATTTTACCTGAGCAATGGTAATGCTTGTAATCTCGTTGGTTGACCATAGTTTTGTCCCACCTTATGCCCATCTAAGTGAGTTCCCATGTTCTCCACCTTAGACCTGACTCACTGCACAGCTTTACTCTATAAAAGTCCCTGAAAGAGACAACTTCCTGGGGACAACCTGCTCGAGGGCCCAATTCTGTACCCCCCCCCACACCAATAAATGTATTCTACTTTTAACCTCCGTTTGTTCCTAAAATTAATTCTTTGGTTTTTAGAGAACACAAACTCATCCCAAGTACCTTTCAGGTTGGGAGTTTCATTCCCCTATATCAGGAGCACCTAGAGGAATTGATAACCATCAAATCATCATTTAATCCTCAAGGATATCCTAGAAAAGACAACAAAGTCATCAAGGCAAAGAAGTAAAAAAGAATAAATATACTTGGCAGGATGAGCAGCTAAACACAAAGGTGGTGGTGGGGGATCAGTAAAGGGAAAATAATACAATGACAGGACTAAGTCAATAACTCTCAAGGTGAATGAATGGTCTCAATTCCTCAACCAAAAGACAGATACTGGCAGAATGGATCAAGAAACACAATCCAACAACATGCAATATACAAGAAACACATTTAAGCCATCTGTGGTAATGCACACCTACCGTCCCAGCACTCCTGAGACTGAAACAAAAGGATCACCATGAGGTGGAGGACAGCCTGGGCTACTAAGTGAGTTCAAGGCCAGCCTATACTACACGGCAAGATCCTGTCTCAAAAAGGGGGGGGGGGAGGGGAAGAAAAAAGAAAAGAAATACTTAATTCAAAGAAAACTCACAGATTAAAAATTAAAAGATGGAAAACAATAGTCCATGCAATAGGAACCCAGGAAAAAGCAGGCATTGCTATCTTAATTTCAGACCAAGTAAGTTTCAAGCCAAATCTGATCAGAGGAGATAAAGAAGGTCACTACATGTTGGTTAAGGGAACAATTCAGCAGGAAGAGATAACAATCATAAATATATACACACCAAATAATGACACACTCAACTTCATAAAACAAACAATAACTCACATGAAAAACTCACATAAACACTAAGATGATTGTAATGGGGAACCTCAATACCCCACTGTCACAAATGGACAGATAAACTAGACCAACAAAATCAACAAAAAAAATTAGCTGAACCAAACTTTCAAACAAATGCA